CTCACAGAAAATTATAACAGAACTGTAGAGAGCTCTACACAAAGGTTTAGCTTCTTTTAGTGAGCTGTTTTGGTTTTCCAGCCTGCAGACTCTCACTTGAGGAAGCAGTGTGTAGTTTAGTGCCAGATTGCAACCGACTGAATCCCCCTCCCCTCACCCGTTCATCTCCAAAGCCCCTTTTTACACAGAGACCGGCTGCTACAAAGTCCCTTCTCTACACCTCCTTTGCATTTTTACACAGAAACAAACAATGATAACATCAGGCCCTGAAGGCAAAAGAGGCATGACAGGCGTGATATATAACACGCCACGGTTGGCCTCTAGTGACAAGTAACATACGCATCAGCATCATTTTCTAAACAATAACAATAGCCCCTTTTCCACCAGGAGCTTTTATTACCAGGAATTTATTTATCTGGGTAAAAGATTTCCTGGTAATCTGTGTGGTTTGCATTTCCACCGCACCTCAGTGTTCCGGAAAATTCATTTAAATCAGGCCAGTGACGTAGATGATTCGCCGTGTGTCCTGTATTTGGCTGGTTACATGCTGATAGAGAGTTGGGTCTGTTTGTCTCAGCCAGCAGCTCAGTTTAAAGTATTCGCCCAATTTTAAGATAAGTGTCAAACTAAAGTACTGGTTTCTTACTCGCTAAGGTTTAATGTCACTTATAGTAACGAATGTAGCTGCCGTCAACTCGAGTCATTTTCAAGTTATCTTCACTTTGTTTCCACCGCGGCCGCTCGGCTGTTCACCAGTTACGTTTGACGCGTAGAGGTGTTTATGTGTGGATGTGTGTGTATGTGGAGGATCGAAAGGAACTGATACCGTTAGCGTTTATCAATACTATGGTCTCTGATAATTTAGCCCCGGGGCTAATTTAGCACCAGGTTTCGGTACCTATCCTTAATCAAAACACAAACGAAGTGAAGGTTGTGTGAATGAAATAAAGTTTGCAGCGGCTGCCCGTGCCAGGAAGTGCAGAACGCTGCAAGTGTGTTTTCCACCAATCAGTGTTCTTCAGCACACAGCCCCGCCCCCTCCTACCCCCCTACTAGGTACTACGAAGTTTGGGGTTGAGGGAAGGTTTTTTACCCGGGTAATTTCGGTGGAACGCGCTGAGGTTTTTCAAAATCCCGGGTAAATGATAAAAGTTCCTGCGGTGGAAAAGGGGCTCTTGGTATAACATGACAATAATCATTTACCATGCCTGTAATATGGCGACAGATCTTGTCCTTTGCACAGAGGGTAAGTCACTGTTTTCCCAGTTTGCGTATATTTCTTCTTCTTTGAGCCGCTAACTGCTAACAGCTACTTTTTAAGTCTCCAACATGATACGTAATGAAAACATCACACCCATTCCATCGATGGTCACATCTGCCATACGTGTGCGTTTCACGCAGACCTTGTTTTGTTGCTGTTACTTCCTCCATTCCTGGATTAGAGGCGAGACAACTCTGCCCCCCCTTTCCACAATCGTACACAGCGAGGGGGCATGAGCTCCAGTTTCCCAATTTGCAGACATTTTCGGCTGCTGTTCCTCTCCTTTGAGTTAGCTGCTAACTGCTGCCAGCTGCTTTTTAAATCTCAAAATGTGACACCTGTTTTGCTCATGGTCCCGTCCTGCTGGCTGTCCCTTTTACACATACATTGATTCAGCACCGTTACTAGCTCTGCTGTCCCCCGTTCTCTTATTCATACCTTTTTTTACAGTATGGCGAGGCAATACAACAGCGAGATATTTCCCGCCTTGAACAGGCAGTGTAAAAGGGGCCCTAGCATGTCAGAGAACCTACTGTCTTCAACATAAAAACATGAAACGCCCTCTCTAGAGCCAGTGTTTGGTTTCTCCACTCTGGGCTACTGAATACACATGGTGGACTCTGTGGAAGAGGACCCACTCCATCAGGGCTTATTCCAAGGTAACGAAAATACACGTCTCTTAGTTTCAAGTGATTACACACACAAATGAAAGCCTACTCATTATATAATATCCAACTTCTGCCAACATATCCCCTAAAGCCTACACACTGGACCTTTAACATAGCTGTTTTCAGCTAGCACAGCTCTGATTGACCTGCTGTGAGCTTCCTGTTCACCTCCAACTGACAAACAGACAAAGTTAGCAACCAGCTGGTGAAGAACGTGGAGCACGTAGCAGATAAAGAGCCACATATTTTCCCTGTGGAGCTGACCTGAACGGACCTAAAGTAGAGTAAATGTTGGACTTATTTTTTTGTCAGGTTGCCAGACGCAGACTTCAAATGAATGTTAATGCTGCTGAGCGTCCACTGAACATGTGAACAGGTTGCAAAAATGTTCACTGCGATACATTTACAGTGTAAGGTGACGATATGTCAGAGTTGAGTTTTTAACGTGAGAAATCTTACACTATGAAAAGATTGAAACCTCATTTATATTTAGATACTTGACAGATTAAATTAAAGGCTCCTGTTTTATAAGAAAAGCAGCTCTGAGCATCTGGTGACTGGTAGTAATGTGTGTAAAGCCTCAGCTGTTCGTCGCCTCCACCCCCTAAACACACACACACACTCCAGCCACACGTGCACATGTCAGTGTGTGAGTGTGACCCTGGATAAACAGGGGAAGAGAAGAGAGGGACAACTGCTGCGTGCTCTTCTATTGTTATAGCCATACCTGCCTGTCTGCACTGTTTGGAAGTATCTGTCAGACTGCTGTGAAAAACAACCTGCAGTCATTTCATTCAGCTGCAGCCCCCTGCCCCTCACAGCCTGAGGGGGAAAGTATGCAAGACATCGGCGCTCTGACAACAGACGAGCAGTCCTATACATGCAGCGGCTCGTCCCGCTGTGTCAAGTAACAACAAGGTGGGAGCATGGCAGTTTGTCGCAAAAACGCACATTCAAAACCGAGGTTGTTCAGAGGCACAAGGGAGCGAGCGCCTGGCTGTCTCTCGAGGAAATTTGGATGCTGTCATTTTCTGTCAACAGGCGAGGGCTCTGTGTTGTGCGTCTCAAAGGATGCATCTCTGTGAAATCTGCTGTATTTTTTTTTTCTCTGCGAGCCGAAAATCTAAACAACACTTGCAAAGCAGACGTGCAGCGCGGCTGCTTTCTGAGCAGTGTGTGCACCAAAAAGATAAGAGTGTAGTTTTTACCTTGTGAGTCTGCTCTTAAGTATGCTTTGTGTGTCATTCTGAGAAAAAGTGCCTTGATGAATTTTGGATGAGGCCTGCGCTGCTCAGTTAGTCGAAACAGAAAGAAACTCGCCCAAAGAAGTGGTAGGTCTCAATTCAGCATGAATCCCAGGGTAGGGATGGAGCGCTAAAGCTGTGAATTATTGTCATCTGCATGCATGCCCAAACCTGAACTGATCCCCTCTGCTGCGTGAACCCCGCTGAGCCCAGAGGAAGCAGGTTCTTATCGGGGAGGAGGACAGGAAGAGACAGAGTGGAGGAGGAAGAGAGAGTGGGGGTTGGTGGCAGCATGGCAGCATTTCACTTGACACTGGTTTCCTCTGAGAAGTTTACACAGATATGACTTCTCATTGTTGTGACTGTAAGTGGCGCTCGACTTCTCTGATGTAACAACAGGTTATATTTGTCCCTGTTCTGCGAACCACATGTGTCTTTGACAAATATACCTCATAAACTAGACCACACATTTCTGAAGAAATCCTCTGATACAGAAGTGGGTGAACTTGAAAGGCATTTGCCAGGCAAGAAGTGTGATGAAACATGCTTTTAAGTTGCATTATGGGAATTGTAGGATGCAGTGTTTTTGCACTGAAAGCCAGGATGTCTTGGTTGATTTGGACCGTTCTGATTTTAATCTGTTTCTTGTGACATGAAAAGATGCTCAGAGTGGAAATAACTTCAGCCTTATGAGTCTAAATAAATCCTTTTTTTTCTGTTGCATATTTGATCATTCAGGGATGACAAGTACGTTGAGCCACATCAAGATTTGATGTTCCATCCTTTCAATATTAGATGGTGTCTGGAAATAGATATTTAGCTTATATAATTATAAAGAAATGTATGAAGTTAGTTGATGGTAAGTGAGAAGAAGAGAGAGATAGACATGATTATTCAGATCTTTTACCAGAAAACTGTGACCATAAAATCCTGCCTCTTAAAGGGGCAGTCCCTCCAGTGTGTTCTGGGTCTGCCCCGGGGCCTCCTACCAGTGGCACGTGCCCAAAACACCTCTAACAGGAGGATCCTGATCAGATGTTGAACCACCTCAACTAACCCCTCTGAACGCGAGGGAGCAGCGGCTCTACTCCTAGCTCCCTCCAGATGTCTGTGTTTTGAGTCTCTCTGTAGTTGCTTTGCATCTCTTTGTGGTCATTTTGAGTCTATTTTGTAGAGGATGGGGGGGCCCTGACACTTAAGGCCCCTGGGCCTGTGCCCTGTAGGCCCGTTCAGTAATCTACCCCCGGACTTGATTGTATTGCACAAGTTGTGTTAGAATTTGTAAACAGATGTTTACTCAAATTCAGCAAGAATTTTCTCAGTTTTTTGGATTCTTCGTTCGCCCTTGAGGCATGCAAGACAAACAAAAGTCTCTTCATTAATTCAGTGTAACACAGAGGGTGTCATTGATATACAGATTATCATTTTGTGGGTGAGGTGTTCCTTTCATGAAAGTACGATGCTGAATTGCAGGAGTGCTCCTTTAAGAGGCAGGATTTTCTTACGGTCACAGTTGAGGTTAAAGATCTGAATGATCATCTGATGTCTGTCTGTCTTTCATTCTCGCTCACTTTCATCTTATGATATAAGGTAAATAACTGTTGGCAGACACCATCACAGTCACTTTGCAATTATGGAAAAGAGAGGATAAGAAATCTTGATGTAGCTCTTAATAATAATCACTCATGAATGATGAAGTATGCAACAGAAAATGAGGATTTATTAAGATGAAAGCCTGAAATTATTTCCAGTTTTAGCATTAAGTCTTTTCATGTGATGGATCTTCGTTAATAATTTAATGCATAGATGTTTTTATGTCTCTCTTAGAGGTGGGCACCGTTAAGATGATCGCCTCCAGCATCCCTCACCAGTAGCTGGGCAGCATGGCTTCTGCTCCTCCTTCCAGAGAAGACACCAGTCGCTCATTAGCACTGCACTGGAGGCTAACACCGACATAGATACTCACCACGCTGGACGCCGACTTCAGACTGAACCGAAGCAGGCTGAGCTGCACCCCACAGGCCTGGTTAAACATACTTATGAACTGCCTTCAGAGGATGACTTGTGCCAGGGCGGCACATGTCCAGCACAGTGACGTCACCACAGTGTAACAACAGCGACATCTGGACTGAGACTGTGGACCATGCTCTGTCTCTGATCGGGTGCTTTGGTGGCAGAGCTGGACTGTGCAGCTCTTCCACACTAAGACAAACCTGGACTCTGAGCCATGTCTCTTCTCTCAGCCCTGAGCATCGTCTGTGGATTGATGCTCCATGTTTCATTTAGTGCGCTCAGCAATCACTACTGTGTTCCCCGAATGACCGTCCCCTACCAGAGTGAGTCAAATTCTCAGTGTCATCAAGGCATAATCTGTGTTTCTGGGAGTCATTGTATCAGCTCAAGGATGCATTTGAATAGTTTCACTATGATATGTGAACAAGCAGTGCAACTTTAACTTCTTAGTTTTTGTGCTGGCTGGGACAGGCTTATTGAATTTCAATGAATTTGCATTTTGTTTTTGCTGTGGGAGCATTTTCCCAACTGCACCGAGTCACAGCAGCTGAAATGTAGAAAGTAATGCAGATTCTCTCCTTTTTTAGACGAGCTGAAGTTGTTCAGAGAAGAGGGGATCTTCAACTACTCCACTATGCTAATGAGAGATGACCTGGGCGTGCTGCTGCTGGGAGCCAGAGAGGCCATTTACGCTCTGGACATTAACAACGTCTCTGTCAGGAAGGATGTGGTAAGAACACGTGAAGAGATTCATGAAAAAAAAAAAAGATCTGTTTACGGAGTCAGCAGGTCTGGCACTTTGTCCTGATCAGCTGTAAAACAACTGATAAACACACACATGCCTGCAGATCAGCTACAGATCAACATGCAAACTGTCTTTGCCTTGATAATATAGTTATTAATTAACTTTTAATTATTGCAGATTAAAAATAAAAAAGATTTATTGAAGATTTATGATATTTCATCAAAGTGGCTGAAGGCATTTCATCAAATAATCAGGAAGAGACTCAAGGCCGGACTTGTCTTTCTTTATCATGGATTAAAACTTTATAGTTTACAACCACATAAAAGGAACTCATGTCTGTTGCTGGCCACGCATCACAGGTGGTGTTGGTGTGGCTGTACGTTATGAGCGGGTCAGCTTAAAGACATACTTCACCCCCCAAATGACCACTGCTGCAGCAGTTACTCGCCCCATGCTACGCTGAATTTGTGAAGAAAACTGCTGTTTGCATGCAAATCCAAAAACTGGGAAAAGTCTTGATGAATTAAAGTCACAGTCATCTGCCTTTCCACAACAGCAAAACTGTCACACAACTTGTGCAGTAAAATCCAAGTCTCATTTATCCAGTTATATGCTTGGTACTTCCCAAACAGGCAACCCTAAAAGTGAAACTTATCTTTGCTCTCCTCAAAGTAAATCAGTATTTCGGAGGTCAGGGGAGTGAATTCCAGAGTTGGGGAGCAGAGTGGCTGAATGCTCTGCTCCCCATGGTAGTGAGGCGAACGGAGGGGACAGTGAGGTGAATAGAAGAGGAGGATCTCAGGGTGCGAGCAGGTATGGTGATAGGAAGGAGGTCAGAGAGGTACAGAGGGGCGAGGCTGTGGATGGCCTTGTAGCTCAGAAGTATAATCTTATAGTGGATGCTGTAGGTGATGGGGAGCCAATGGAGCTGCTGTAAGATGGGTGTGATATGACTGGTGGATGGGGTCCTAGTGCTAATTGTGAACCATCTGCAGTTTATGGAGGATTTTCAGGGGGAGACCAAACAGGAGGGAGTTGCAGTAGTCAAGCCGGGAAGTGAAAAGACTGTTAACTAGTATGGCAGCGGTGTGAGGTGTGAGGGAGGGGCGCAGGCGGTCGATGTTGCGGAGATGAAAGCAGGCTGACCGGGTTATGTTGTTAATGTGGGATGAGAAGGAAACCGTGCTGTCGAGGATGACACCCAGACTCTTGACTTGAGGGGAGGGGAGGATGGAAGAATTGTCAATCGATATGGTGAAACTGTGGGCTTTGGCTAGAGTGGGTTTAGTGCCGATTAGTAACATTTCTGTTTTATCACTGTTTAGTTTGAGAAAATTGCATGTGAACCAGGACTTTATTTCATGAAGGCAATCAGTAAGGAATGAGGGAGGGAGGGTGGAATCAGGTTTGGGAGATGTAGAGCTGGGTGTCATCCGCGTAGCAATGGAAATTGATGTGTTTTTTACAGAAAATGTGACCAAGAGGGAGTAAGTAGATGATGAATAACAGGGGCCCCAGGACAGAGCCCTGGGGCACACCTGTGGAGACTGGGAGAGGGTGTGAGGTAAATGATTTCCGCTGAATGAACTACTGAACTAACAAAGTCACAAAATCACACTAACAAACTAAATGATCAAGGCAGTGGTAGATCAACAGCTCCTGTGATCAGCGAGGTAAAATTACTGTTTTTCGCAATGGAGTCTGGCAGTGAAGAGAGCATTGATATGTTCCACATTTAGTCCCGTTCCCTGTCAGAGAGGGCTGTCTTCATGGGAAGTTCTGCGCATTTGACTGCATAAATGATTACACTGCACGTTTTGATATAGTTTTGCAGTTGTTAAATACGGTCGCCGTTTTCGTCAATGTATCAAGAATTTTCTTTGTTTTTGGATTCTTTGTTCATGGCAGAGGCATGTGAGAAAAACAAAGGTTTTGTCATGAATTCAGCGGAACACAAGGTGAGTAATTGATATACAAATGGTCATTTGGGGAGTGAAGTATTCCTTTTAAAGGTATGCTCTGCAGGATTTCCCTAAAAAACAAACGTATAGACCCGTACAATCATCCCTTACAATCCTCTAGAAGTGTGTGGCGGTGCATTTATCTGCAGAGGCTCCGCCTTCTGCCTGTATTATTATTTTTTTCTCTTTTTATGTGCTCGGGACATTTTTGGGTGCTTACACCCACAGCGCTCAGGTGAGGTCCAGGCTTTATAAAAAGGTGCCAGGCATCCAAGAGACACAGTGCCAAAAACCAAACGCATAGGGAGGCGAAATGCCAAACGAGAGTGAATTTGGATTTGGCTTTTACTTTCACTTTGAGCATGTTTACGAACACTTCACGACAATCCTGCACAGTATACCTGTAACATTTTCCCTCAGAGTGTCTGATATGAAGGATTTTTGGAGACTGACAAAGTGAGCGTATCCAGTACACAAGAAAAAAAAAGCAAACTGGAATAAAGTTAGAAAATAAATTGTGCAACACTGACATCTCAGACACATCTTGGCTGCAAGAGCATTTCAGTAACATTTCATAATCACTTCATTCCTCCAGTAAGTGCACTCTTTGTACATCTGTCTCACTATTTTGAGGCTGAGAACATGCTCACAGATTCACATCAGATTATGTAATGACCTGTTCTCACACCAGCAGCCAGGTCAACACTGTTGTCTGTTTGTCTCGTGCAAATTTGCATAAGGAACTTGAATGAATAATGGTCTTGTTGAACTCTACAGACAGTAGCCTGTTGATTCTTAGTTGCAGTTACAGCCAACAGTCACAACTGAAGAGGGACTGGTGTCCCAGCCAGCAGGTAGCTACACCCTTCTAGAGTGAACTGACTGGTCTTGACGTTAGATAAACAATGATGCGTGTGTAGGGTAAACGGGCTGCGGCTCCACTGTCGTGCTGCGGGTTGCGACACTGTTCCTGCATGCTTTGACAAGACACTTTCCCTCTGTTGATGCAGGTGTATTGGCGAGTTACCGAGGAGAAGCAGAGGGAGTGCAAGTACAAAGGAAAACATGCCGAGGTTTGTGTAATGTATTTCAAAACAGAGCTTGCGTACGCTAAGTTTTACTTCTAGGCTAAGAATACAGCCTGAAAGGACGACTGTTGATGATTGAAAGCAGTTTACTCCCCAGTGCAGTTTATCTCTGTGCATTTGTAAATCATTTATGTGGGAGTCTTTTTCCTTTTTAGAATTCTCTTTGAAGTGCTTTGCTTACAGCTTTGTACTGAATGTCCAAATAAAGGAAGGAGTGGAAAATGCACGTACACAGCCTTGACCTTTTTGGTCACCAGCTCAACCTCAGGCAGCCAGTGCTGTCATTATATGTATGTGGCATGTTTGTGTTTTTGCGGCTGAACTAACAAAGCTCTGACCTTGGCATTCTCTCTGCTGGATCTTGTTGCAGGTGGAATGCCGTAACTACATTCGGACCCTGCACAAAATGAACGAGACTACAATGTATGTCTGTGGCACCAATGCTTTTAGCCCCGCCTGTGATTACATGGTGAGTAAACTGAAGACTATGGAGTCAGTTTGGAGGATTTTGTAAGTTGTTTTTGTAGGTAGGACCTCTGTTTATCAGCTGAGGTGGTGGTTTCAAAGGGACGGACTGATGGACCAGCAATTTCTGAAACTGGTCCAGTATTCAGCACAGAGGGCTGCTGCTGTGAAACCACTCGGCACATGTTCACACCGTCAATTTACATCCACTAAAAGTGCTCGTTATTGTCACTGGCAGCCTCCGTTTGTTGTTACAAGTGTCTGACAGCATTATGGAAGGGATCCCGACAGACATAGACCTTTATGTTGAAGAGTATGATCCTTTTTGATTCACCAGAAACAGCCCCAAAATCGCCACAGCCAAACCCACCAGACTCCATTTAAATTAACAGTGATTAAAGCATGTATAGAGGCAGCAGATTTCACATCTAACTGGGTGAATTAAGACTTAATTTCAACCAATCTAGAGATGGTGATTGCTGGAGCAGTGGAAAGATGAACCAAGGCGGGTTTTGTAAGTTTTATAATGCTTCTATTGACTTTAAATGAAGTGTCTTTCAGCTGTAAGAACCATAGTGTAAGTGACATTTGACCGACAGGACAGCCAAAACAAAAAATCACCACACTCTTTAATATTAAGACATCATAAATGTATGCAGGACAACATACTTAATGACCAATATTTTAACATTTATTGAAAATAAAGTAAGTGCAATCGCACACTTTTTGGCTCTAAATAGCTCAGTGTGCTCAGTGTTTAGCCTTCAGTTTTTGATTAATAATTCTGGGTTTGGACAAGACTTCACAACCTCTTAGCAGCAGAAAGAGCTCAGCGATAGCTTTCATCTTACTATATAATGATGAAAACTCTGTGTGTGTGTGTCTGTTCCACTTTTTTCTCCTCACTGACTTGGTCAATCCATGTGAAATTTGGCGCAGTGGTAGAGGGTCATGGGAGGATGCGAATGAAGCAATATTACATCAATTGGCCAAAGGGGGGCGCTATAGCAACTAACTTGCGGTTATATAGATTTCCGCCATTTTGAATTTTTTGAAAAACACTTCAAATGGATCTCTTCCTAGGAAGTTTGAGCGATCTGCATGAAACTGGGTGAACATAATCTAGGGACCAATATCTAAAGTTCCCTCTTGGCAAAAGTTGGAAAACTTACTAAAACTGAGCTTCTATAAGGCAATGAATATTGCGGAGGGCGTGGCTCATCACATAAAGGTGTATAACATCTCAAGGGTTTCACCCATCACCACGCAACTTTGTAGGCATATGACCACACATAATCTGAGGGGACCCCTCCATTATTGACCCCATCAAACAAAATGGGGGCGCTAGAGAGCTCATTTCTTATCTAGGCCTAACCGCCATATGGATTTTTACTAAACTTGGTAGATATGTAGAACAGGACGCCTCAAGGTGACTGGAGAAATTTAACTCTAATTGGCAACTGGGTGGCGCTATAACAACAGAAAAATGCTTCAAAATGGCTAAAATGTGACCGATCGCTGTGGCTCCCCCTGTGGACCAATGTTGGTGTTGTTTCTAATGTTTGGTATGACTAAGTCATGGTATGGTATGCTGTACATAATCACGGAAACTGTCAGTGTGTCATTCTGTCAGTCAGTCATTCTGTCTGTCCCACGTTTTTCTACTCACTGACGTGGTCAATCTATGTGAAACTGCACATAGGCATTGAGGACTGGCATAGGTAGAAGGTGACAAAGCTACCAATGGCTATGGACTAGTATCATAATTTAACTAATCTTCACTCAGCAGCTCACTTACACCCCTCTGATTCTCAACCCCGGATTTTACTAAAATGACTATTTAAATGGAGTCTGGTGAGTTTGGTGACAGTGTTTTCAAAAGTAAACAAAAAGGTTCGTATACAGCGAGCAGGAGCAGCGACCCACAGTCTGACACCGGCACACCGTGAGGATGGAAGGACGGAGCACCTGCCGCAGCAAGTGAGCACACTGTCTGCGGTCATTTTGACTTGACCAGACTTCACTACAAGCTGACTGGCTGTTGAAACAGACAACCAGCCTTACATTTTAAAACCAGTTGCAGGTGACGCCATCACTCAAACCGCTGCAACTTTTCTCTGCAAGGTTCTAAAACCGGTAACAGCTCTCCCTGATGGCAGAGGCCCCCCAGCAGGATCATGCACCATGCCTCAGTGCAGAAACTGCTCAGGAATGTGACAAAGAGCTCAAGTCACCGACCTGGCCTCCAAATTCCCCAGATCCAACTCTGATCGAACATCTATGGGATGTGCTGGTACCTCTGAGGTACCCCTAATCCATGGTGGGGCCCCCCTGGATCAGACTGGTCTCTGACATGTGAAGGCATGGACACATGGCCTCTGGATGGTGTCCTGTGGTGTCTGGCTTCGGATCATTTGAGACCTGTCAGTTGTGAGGTGGGGCACCAGCACTTCCCAAGATGCTCAGTCAGATTGGGGTGTGGGAGATTTGGAGGCCAGGTCGACATCTTGAGCTTTTTGTCACGTTCCTCAGGCCATTCCTGAGCAGTGTTTGTGGTGTGGCTCATTTTCCTGCTGGGGGGCCACTGCCATCACGGAGTACTCTTGCCGTGAAGGGGTTTCTTAGCCCACAGTGGTGTTTGGGTGGGTGGATGGTGTCAGGTGGCATCCACATGAATTCCATGACCAAAGGTTTCCCAGCAGAACAATGCACTGTGACAAAATGATCAGTGTTATTCACTTCACCTGTCAGTGGTTTGAATGTTTGGCTGATCGGTGTGTAACTGGTGCTCGAGTGAGTTTTCACAGCAGCAGGTCGGGATGTGTGGCGTTGACTCAAAACACACCACGGTGTCCATGTTCATCGCATCAAAGGAACCTGTCAGAAAGTGCAACACTGATGTGTTTATAATATTTTTGGGGGCAACAATGGAGGTCTGTGTCACACATGAAAAAGCTTCATCAGGCTTTTGACACACAATACTTTAATTGTTGGTTTTGTTCTTTTTATAGCTTTTGTTTACAGTTGGAAAAATATCACCTGACACATTCTTTAAACCAAGCAGCAACAGTTGTGGTTGAATGTTGCAGTTAATAGACAAAGGTCTTAAAATGCAGTTCCTTTAAAGGCCACTTTGTTTTTATTCTGAGAGCTCAGAATGTTTTAGATTAAAAAAACTGACATTGTGTCTTTTGTGACACAGAGTCAACACATTTTCTCAGCTAGAGCTCATATTAGATTTCCTTCTTGTAATGGTTCAGAAAAATACAAAGTCTTCCCCTCCATAATGTTTGTGTTAGTGTATTTATTGTCTTTGTTAGGGTTGATTGTTCTGCAGCATCCATTAGCTCATGACCGCAGTGTATTTTGGCAAAGAACTCAAATCTCAGAGGACTGAGCCTCCTGAATGCCTCACCAAGGAGAACGAAATGGTTTCTACGTGCAGACCCATGACACAAAGAGCTAACGTTTATAAAAGATAAATAAATAAATAAAAGCAGCCAAAGGATAATCCATCTCAGTTTAGCGTCTGCAGTATGTAATATGAATCAGTTGCAGGTTGGAGATCAATCTTGATACTTGTGTTATCTTTTATTTACTTTGGAAAGTGGTGAGTAATAATGTAAATATACGCACATTGTAGTCAAAAGGCTAAAACATACAAATCACTGGCTAAGTCCTTTAATTCCAGTCATGTGTCCGGGAGCTGCGCCTGAATAAAATCACACTGTTTTTCATTCTTCTCCCTCTTGTAAAAAGTTTTCTTTCCTTTGTTTCCGACAGACGTTTGTTAATGGACAGCTGAGGCTCAAGGGAAAGCAGCAGGAGGAGGGAAAGGGGAAGTGTCCTTTTGATCCCTTCCAGAGATACTCCTCCCTCATGGTGGGTGAGTGTCTGAGTCGGGTTTGCTGCCAACGGGAACAAAGCGCCGAATACTGCTGAATGTTCAAAGTGCACCAACAGAAAAGATCAGTGATAATAACTGTGCACAAATCTCACAAGCCACAAGATCTGAGCACCCAGTGCATCACAAGTGCCACACAATATCTTTGTTATCGCGACCTGCTCACTCAACATTTGTACTACTTAGTCAGAAAACAGGCCGGTCAGTTGAGTCCATTAGTAGCCATATAAACGAGAGATTGTTCCAACTTAATATGAATAATGTATTTCCAGGAATTTTTCCTCATCTCTGGTTCCTGTCCAACAGGAAATGACCTGTATTCTGCTACATCCATCAACTTCTTGGGCTCTGAGCCGGTGGTTCTGCGCAGCTCAGACTTGGCTCTCCGCACTGAGTTTAAGAGCTCCTGGCTCAGCGGTGAGTTCCTCCTCTGCAAAAACCGGCCATTTAAAGTTTTATATAATGGTGTGCATAGTTTAAAGGGAATCGACTCCAGCAGCAGCCAACCTGCCTCTGCATGCTGCAGTATTTTTAGATATCCTTTAATGTAACTGAGGCAGTGGTTTGAGATTTTTGCCCCTGGCCAAAGCGCTCATTTCACTTCTTGTGTTTTCAGAGCCAAACTTTATCTACATGGACTATGTGGCTGAGAGTGTTAATAGTCCTGATGGTGACGATGACAAGGTGTACATGTTCTTCAGTGAGAATGCCATGGAGTACGACTTCTACAGCAAAGTTGCAGTGTCGCGAGTGGCCCGTGTCTGCAAGGTATACATAAGTAAAGAATAGAGTCTCAGTGTCAGACGTTAATGGACCAGTGTGTAGGATTAAGGGGATTTAGTGGCATCTAGTGGTGAGAAATGCAGATTACAACCAGCTGAAACTTCTCTCTGTCAGAATTCTTTCAGTGTTAACTGTTACTACCAGGAGCTGAATTATCCACGCAGGTCTGTTCCTCTCCACAACAAATGTAGCTTGTGATTTAAACCAATTAAAAGACAGAAAAGGCAGTTTTACAAGGGGCGAGGGAAAAATCAATACAGCATACTAGCGCAATATTTCACGTGGCGATATTGTATTGATACACAGACACCAAGTATTGAACTTTTACACATTTAAGGACAACTTTTGGTACAAGAATAATAAAATCAAAAGCTTTGTCAGTCCACTGGATGGTGCTGATGATTGTTTCATATGGTGAGGTCAGCAGAGGTCTCAGTCAGTGGCATTTGGCAGGAAGTTCATGAAAACTAAGATGGATGCACCAGAGAAAGAAATCAGAAATGTGCCATCGGCGATTAAATCAAATGTCTGGACTTATCTGGGATTCTTTAACACAGAGGAGGACTTGGATATGACACATGCCATTTGCAAGCAGTGTCATATGAGAATAAAATACTCGCCTCACATGCCACCATCCAGAGACAGTGTTAGCCGGTGACGTCCAAACTAACTCTAAACCCGCTCTGCTGAAAACTCAAACAACATTGGACACACTTAACTTGACAGAGGTCGGACTTCTCACAGAGAAGTGTCGACTGCAGTCTGATGTTCTCCACACTAGAGCAGTACACAAAAGTAACATCAGAGCAAACATCACAGACCTCCTGCAAGACGCAACACAAGAATGGGCGATTGCTGACCAAAACCTCTTCTAACATGGGTGTTGCCACTCAGTTCACCTGCATGTGAAATGTGTCACTCACACCCTTAATCTGGCCTTGCAAAGGGTGTTAAATCTGCTAACAGTTTTTATGATGCAGAACTGATGTCAACAAAGTTTCCTTTGGGGAAATAATTTGCAGCTGGAAACAAGGTGGTAAATCGCAGTGTTTCACGACATATGTCATCGCAATACTCGGCATATCGCAGTAATATTGTATCGTGACCTAATTGTCGTAATAATAATATCGTACTGTGGGTCCTCTGGTGATTCCCACCCTGAAGTTTCACATTTAAAAATCAGGGTCTCTCAGACACTGCTCGTCATGGAGGGGCTGCAAACTGTGGAGGCCAATGCAAAAACACAAATGTCCCTATCGAGAGACAGTGTTTGGTTTGTCCGTCCTGGGCTACCGTAGAAACATAGTGGTGCAACATCGAGCTTACTCCATTAATGAGGACTCGCTCCCTGTGTAGATATAAATAGCTCATTCCATGCTATTCAAAAAAGAGGCAGATTCTTATTTTCAGGTGATTCTTTATACACTAAAGAAAACATACGTGTTATATTATATTACATATATATTCCTTTAAAATCCGACACACTGGAGCTTTAAGTGAGAGTAGGTTTTGTGTTTGAGGATGTGCAGATCAGGCTTGTGTTTGGCCTCACACTCCCTGTCTGACACTGGTCTGTCTGCTTGTTGCTGTTAAGAGGACTATCTGCACAATTGCACATGACAGAGCGCCCTGTCTCTGTGTTTAGGGGGATATGGGCGGCCAGCGGACGCTGCAGAGGAAATGGACGTCGTTCCTGAAAGCTCGTCTGGATTGTTCCCTCCCTGAACCCAGCCTGCCCCCCATTGTCCAGGATGTCTTCCTGCTGAAAGACGATGACTGGAGGAGGAGTGTCTTCTACGCTGTCTTTACTCCGCAGTCGTAAGTGCTTACAATAAATCCTGGGTGTTGACAAGGTAGGAAGTAAGCTGAGCAGACAGTGTAGAAGAATGAAAAAGGTGTCTTTATTCACACAAATATTTTGCACAAATAAAACAAACGCTGGTACTTTGCATGACTGAGTGTGTTTGATTTCCAGGAGCTTGTCCCAGGTGTCGGCAGTATGTGCGTACACTGTGTCCTCCATTCGAGATATTTTCAATGAGGGCAAGTTTAAGACACCTGTCGCCGTGGAGACATCTCACGTCAAGTGGGTGATGTACACTGGAGACGTGCCTGTACCCAGACCAGGAGCGGTGAGTCTGAAGACTTTGTTACAGCCAGAAGCAACTCTGGATATTATACAATACGATATTTAAAAAAATCCACAGTACTGAATTGAAGTTTTGTATTTCAGTGCATCAATAATGTGGCACGTAAAATGGGAATGAATCGCTCGCTGGACCTTCCTGACAAAACCCTCCAGTTCATCAGGGACCGTCCCCTCATGGACGAGGCTGTGCGCCCGCAGACAGGAGGGCCGCTGCTGGTCAAGAAGGGAGCTTTGCTGACTCGGATTGTCGTGGACAGTGTGTCGGCTCTGGATGGAAAGACACATGCCGTCATGTTCATTGGCACTGGTAAACTATGGCCTGTCTGTTAAAAAGATAAAACAGAACCAGGGGTTGAATGAAACTTAAGTACTGTACTTAAATACAATTTTGAGTTAATTCTATTTAAGTATTTCCATTTTATAATTCTTTATATTCTTTATAATTCTGCCTCCCTCTGCTTCACTGCATTTGTTTTTCAGCTTTAGTTACTTTAAAGCTTCAGATTATTAATACAAATATAATCAGCTAATAAATTATGTTGCATTATTATAGATTAAGTCAACCAGAAGTATATAAAGTGATCAAAATGAGCTCCACCTTTACAGCGACAACATTAAAGTGACGAACACATTAATGCATCAATAATTGTTGTCCAGTAATCTATACTATATAATGACGAAATGTGTGTGTGTGTGTGTGTGTGTGTGTTCCACGTTTTTCTGCTCACTGACTTGGTCAATCCATGTGAAATTTGGCACAGTGGTAGAGGGTCATGGGAGGATGCCAATGAAGCAATATTACATCAATTGGCCAAAGGGGGGCGCTATAGCAACCCATTGAAATGTCAAACTTTGAATGGGCATATCTCATGAAACTTTGCACAGAGATGCCTCTCCTCATGAGGAACACATTTGCCTCAAGAACCCATAACTTGCGCTTATATAGATTTTCCGCCATTTTGAATTTTTTGAAAAACACTTCAAATGGATCTCTTCCTAGGAAGTTTGAGCGATCTGCATGAAACTGGGTGAACATAATCTAGGGACCAATATCTAAAGTTCCCTCTTGGCAAAAGTTGGAAAACTTACTAAAACTGAGCTTCTATAAGGCAATGAATATTGCGGAGGGCGTGGCTCATCACATAAAGGTGTATAACATCTCAAGGGTTTCACCCATCACCACACAACTTTGTAGGCATATGACCACACATAATCTGAGGGGACCCCTCCATTATTGACCCCATCAAACAAAATGGGGGCGCTAGAGAGCTCATTTCTTATCTAGGCCTAACCGCCATATGGATTTTTACTAAACTTGGTAGATATGCAGAACAGGACGCCTCAAGGTGACTGGAGAAATTTAACTCTAATTGGCAACTGGGTGGCGCTATAACAACAGAAAAATGCTTCAAAATGGCTAAAATGCGACCGATCGCTGTGGCTCCCCCTGTGGACCAATGTTGGTGTTTTCTAATGTTTGGTATGACTAAGTCATGGTATGGTATGCTGTACATAATCACAGAAACTGTCATTGTGTCATTCTGTCAGTCAGTCATTCTGTCTGTCCCACGTTTTTCTACTCACTGACGTGGTCAATCTATGTGAAACTGCACATAGGCATTGAGGACTGGCATAGGTAGAAGGTGACAAAGCCACCAATGGCTATGGACTAGTATATATTATTCTGATTCTGCTTAATAAACAATGAACTTTTACTTTTGGTACTTAAAGTTGCTTGTGATGCGAATACTTTTGTTCTTTTACTTGAGTAACATTTCAAATGCAGAACTTTTACTTGTAGCAGAGTATCTCTACTTTGTAGTATTGCTTGCTTTACTTAAGTAAAAGATCTGAGATCGTCTTTCAAACAGATAATTAGCTTACATTAAAATTAAACTTGGTTTTAAATCTTAAGTATTTCTAAATAATGTATAATTTACAGTTAAAGTTAAAAAACTGTTTGAATAAAACATACTAAGTTTTATTATTTATTAACACTATTTAACACTCAAGCATTCAGCTAATCTGTTTCATTTGCACTGTGCAGTTTGTTCCACTTTGACTGACAGTGCTGGCAACATAAGCAAACAACCCCGTAACTGTCAGATTGTTTGTTTTACTCTAACGTTACTAAACTCTAATTGGTGCAGGGATGTTCGTGACATCACCCTTTTTCCAACTGAGCCCCGCCCACTACAAACCAGCGAGGAAAGCAGGAACAAAAACACAAAATACATGTTGAAATCACACACAGACGTGTTCAGAGTTGGACAGAAAATAGTGTTTTCAGGTAGATCACAGTGAGAACCTGGCTGAGAAAATAATGGTAAGCCTTTAAAACCACTACAACATTGTTTAATCAGCACCTTTGAAGATGCACACATTAGATGTGAAGAGGTAAAACAAAGCCAGGATCTTTGTTAATGCATGTGTTTGTGTGGTGAGCTTGTTATATGGGTATTAGATGATCCTTTTTTGTCTCCTGATAGAAAACGGTTATGTTCAGAAGGCCGTCAACTACGATGGAGAGATGTTCATCATTGAGGAAATTCAACTGTATGAAAACCCCGTGCCTATTAGCATCCTGCGCCTCTCATCCAGCAAGGTAACTCTCAGCAGGTTCAACACAGTGGCAGTGTGGTCTGTTAGCTCATCATCATCATCATCATCATCATCGTCATAGGTTATAGACATTTACTGGTGTGTCATTTGGCAAATATTGTACAATGAGCTTCAGTCTGAATTTATGTCTCAATTTAAATATGTTGCCACTATATTGCTGCTGACAGGCAGGAGAGCGGCTTCAGGAGTAATAAAGATGAGATGCTTTTGGTTTATTATTAATGTGTGTGTGTGTGTGTGTGTGTGTGTGTGCAAACACAGGGCCAACTGTATGCAGGCTCAGAGTTTGGTGCCGTCCAGATGCCGGTCAGTAACTGCAGCCACTATGACCTCTGTGTGGACTGTGTCCTGGCCAGAGATCCTTACTGTGCCTGGGACTTCACCACCGAGAAGTGCTCCTCAGTCCGCAGCTTATCGTCCTCCTCACATGCTGCATTACAGAGTCTGAAGGAAGGAGACATCTCACAATGTCCACAGCCAGGTACAGTTACTGTGCATTGTTTGCAGTACCAAAGTCAACGTGACGTTATGAGATGGCTGCTGTCTCTTTTAGGAGACAGAATTAGCTTCGATTTTTGAACCTTTATGGTTAATTTGAAAACTTCGAATTATATTTTGATTGAAGAATATTGAGCCAACATGCAGTTTGAATATTTCAAAGCACTTTCTGGTGATGGAAACCTAGATATGAGAGAAAACTGGCTTTTACATGATACCACAATCTTAAACAAACGTTATTCTGCAGCTCGAGGTCTCTGAAGCAAAAAACAAAAACAAAAAAGGAGCATTTCAGTCATTGTCTCCTGGTTAGGATTCCTTCAGTGTTCATTGTTCAGGAGGTTTTAACCAGGAGCTGAATTATCCACAGAGGTCTCTTCCTCTCCAAAACAAACAGACCAGCTGATTAAAACAGGTAAAAACACTGAATAAAGTAGTTTCATGTTACTGATCAGTGTTTCTCAGATGCTGTTAGGCTTCTCACAGAGGGCTGCTAGCCCGGCACCTGCTAATGTGTGCTCACCTTTTTTCTCTGATAACTTAAGATCCAGACATTCGGGAACTGCTGATTTAGAACAGTAAAAACACGTAACAAGGCAGTTTCACCTTAAAAATCTGTGTTTCTTCAAAGCTGTTTGGTACGGCAGGGCTCGAGTCAGCTTTCGTTCACTGGGCTTATTTCTGCGATAACTTAAGATTAGATGTCCAATGACTAAAATCATTTGTCTTGGTAAAACACATAGTTCAAAACGACCAAGATCTAAAATGTGTATTGAAAAACGCGCCCTAAAAAGTCAGTTTATGACAGCGTCTTACAGAAAACCACAACCCTGACGCATGCACAATATGACGCCACCGACAGGCGGAGGTGACCAAATGACACGGACTGTGTCCTTAATTAAAATAACAGATTTCTCTGGGTTTGAACATTGTTAAAAACATTTGGGACAATGTAAGTATACAACTCAACAAACTGTGAGGTTTTTAGGGCCGTTTCATAGTCGACGCAAGACGCAGGCACGCAGACGCAAACGCATTGAGATGCATTGGCCGCCATGATACGTGCTTGCTTGCATTTCAAGTGTCGCCCGCGCCGCTTGCGTTCAATGTGTTGACTATGAAAGGAATTGGTTGCTCGCTTTGCATGGGTCAACTATGAAATGGCCCTTAGACATTTTAAAAAGACATGACATATTAAAGTTACATGTTAAATCTTTAAAAAATGATTAAAGTACTTAAAACTGGCCAAGCCTGGGCCTATAAGGGGGTTTTATGATTTCAAAATTGAGTCGCTTACTCACCAGGGCGAGCTGGGGGGGACCGAAGGGTGGGCACAATGTTGGTTGGTGTTGGTTCAGGACAGTTTAACTAGCAGTAATTTCCAAATGAGCGGCGTCACTACCTAGCTAGTTCCCTATAAATCCACGTGTCACTGGTCAAAAAATTATTCTGTGCAGTTAACCGTTTTCACCTCTACCCTTGGACCCCTGCTCTAAAGCTTCAAAATTCATGAGGGGGTTATCTTCTGATGTATTTTATGTCATAGAACAAAACATGAAAGTCTCTTTAGCTTGTGTTAACCACAGAACTTTTCAGACATCTAACCAAAGGCCCATTCAAAAAAACATTGGCTTTGAGACGAGGGAACCGGAGATGCTAAAATGTTAATTCATTTCCCAGTTTTAGGACCCGGTCCTACAGCACTCTTTAGTCGCATAGCAACAACAGACCGGAAGTTGACTTTGAGAATAAAACAACATCCCAGCAGTCATATTCATTGGTATGCACTCAGTGAGACCTGCCTTTTGTGTGTGTGTGTGTGTGTGTGTGTGTGTGTGTGTGTTTTTAGATCCAGTAGCAGCTGTGGACTTTACCCTAGTTCCAGGGAACAACATCCAGCTGCCTTGCCAGCTCCACTCCAACTTGGCACAGGTCCTGTGGCGTTTCTCTGACCAAACACTTCACTCCAACAGCAAATACTACATCTACAGTGGGGGCCTCCTCATCCTGAGTGCCTCTGAGTCAGACGCTGGTTTGTACACCTGCGACTCAGTAGAGCCGATCAACAGCAAAACATACAACCGGACTGTGGCGGTTTATCAGTTACAGCTCCACTCTGGCCCAGGAGAAGGGGACAGTGCTACTCCTGGCAACGAGGTGGCAAATTCCTCAGACTCTATTCACGGTCTGAACACAGCTGCACCAGGGCTGGAGCCAAACCTGGACAGCAAGGACCCATTGTCCCACGAGGATCCTTTGTCCCCTGAGACCCAAAGTGACACCAGCAGGGTAACTCATTTAGAGGTGGCTGTGGCTCTGCTGTCGCTGCTTTGTCTCTCCCTGATGGGGGTCATATTTTGGATCTGGGGTCAGGGACGCTGGGAGTGCTTCAAGTTTGCGCAGCGCAGCGGTGACAGTGAGGGGAAAAGGCAGTCAGCCGAATACATGCACATCCAGAACCGAACTTCAGAGATAAAGTTCCTGGGGCCTGTGTCTGGAAGACCATGCAGTGCCAATAATAATCACTCTGCTGTTGACTTCAAAGGGAATGGGGAGCACCACTTCACACCTATGGCCAACATTTCAAGTCTGGATGGTCTGGGATACATAAATGATGAGTCAGAGATTTGACTCCGCTGAGGTATAGAATTCAGTCCGAGGCCGTCAACAGTGCACTACTCATTTTCCCATAGGTGTGCTCCTGTAGAAAAGCTTTTCCCATTATAAATTCTTTTGATTGGTGTCCTGTTTCTCCTTGCCAATCTCCAGCACTGTCTATCATTTCTGGTCTCTGACTGGGCAGCTGATGTTCACCGAAGAGACTTTACTGGTGGAATTTCCACTCCAGGAAAAAGTTGGAAAGTCATTTTTTATACATGTATTTTTTGTATAATGATAAATTGTGTGTAATATATTGTGTACAGGCGAGAGCTTTTTTTCAACTGCTATTTATTTGTTGCAATGAAGTTTTTATTTCAGCAAATTATAACACCTGTGATCTAAGTCTTGTAAATAGGGTCAGCAACACTGAACAAGTAGCAAACACTCTGACCTCTGATTCCCAGGCACATTTCATTTTATGGACTGCGTTCTGTTAATGATTGATCAACAGCCTGCACTACTTATTTCTGGGATGCTGTAAAAATGATTTATGTCTGCATTCAAGGGGAGACACTACAGGTGAATAGGGTAAAACTTTTAACTGGAAGGTATGACCATGAAACTTTCCCAGCTGTGTTATTAAATGTGCTCTTTTTACATACATTTTCATAACAGAAATCTGAACATTGGATAAAGCTATGTGTAAAATTGTTGTTTCTTTTTTTGACAAATTGAGTCAAATATTTTACAGTAAGAATTTTGTATGTCTCTTTTTATCACTCCATAAATCAGAAAATACTGTCAACAGCCATAAAAAAGGACATTTTCACCATGTTTTAGGCATAAAATGTTACAAAAATCAGGCTATGAATGATATGTTAACAATTCCCTCTGTAAAGAAAATTCAAAATATCCTGAGACCCTGTGTCCTCATTTGAGGACACTACATTTTGGGTATACTGGACCTTATACTTCATTCTGCTTACTTAAGACCTGTTGTCCTTGATCATGGACACTTTTTGTGCCATCTAGTGGCAGCAAAACCACATTACACTAATACATGTAAAAACAAGATGGCAGCCATCTCTGCCAAGTCAGTCTGCGGCCGACCCCGACACAAAAGTGGACACGGTACGAAACCTGATTGAATTTAATGGTTGAAACTTATGATTTAAAAACAATTGTAGTTTGATACACAATTTTTTAATACTTTTTTGCCATACAAACAATTTTAGCAACGGTAACAAGCTAAGACGTTGTTAAACATATAGTACTAGTTAGAAGACATTGGGACTTTATTATCGTTGACAGTGTTTGTTTTTTAATACTTATCAGATCCTACTAATCCCAAATAGCTAGTTAAATAGCTCTCAGGAGGCTATAGACAGGAATAAAACTGGAAAAGTGTTGTATGTGAGTGCTACGGAAGTGGTTGGCTCAAACAATGAAGAAAAACTCATTTTGAGAAAAAGGCCATAAAAGACATGTATCATAAAATTCCATCTATTTTTAAACAACAAATAAAGACACTAGAGGTGAACAGGGTAAACAATTTAACTAAGAGATATCACCATTAAAATTCCCCAGTTGATTATTTACATACAAGGAACTGTGTAGGATTTAGTGGCACCTAGTGGTGACGATTAGAGACTGCAACTAGCTGAAATTTCTCCCATGTGCCAAGCATAAACTCCCGGTTAGGATTTATTCAGTGTTCATTGTTCAGGAGGTTTTTACAGTGAGCCAAATTATCCACAAACAAATGAACCAGGTGATTAAACCAGTAAAAACACTTCATAAAGCAGTCTGACGTTAGAAATAAGTGTTTCTCTGATGCAGTTTGGCATGTTGGAAATGGGCTGCTAACCTAGCACCTGCTAATTTGCGCTGACCTTATTTCTCTAACTTAAGATTTAGACCTCAGCCCCTTTTCCACCAACATTTCCAGGAACCTTCATTACCAGGAATTTATTTACCTGGGTAAAAGTAAAGTAAGATAAGTGTCAGGCGGAGATCAGCACCGGCACAAAAGAACCAATACCGTTAGTGCTTGTCAATACTACAGTCTCTGATAATTTAGCCCCAGGGCTAATTTAGTACCGGGTTTCGGTACCCATCCTTAATCAAAACACAAACAAAGTGAAGCTTGTAGAAATGAAATTAAGTTTTTAGTGGCTGTCCGTGCCAGGAAGTGCGGAATGCTGCAAGAATGTGTTCCACCAATCAGCGTTCTTCAGCACACAGCCCCTCAAGAATTCCAGGTAATCTGAAAAGTCCTACCTCCCTGCTAGGTACTTTTTCCAGGGTAAATTTGGGGCTGAGGGAAAGTTTTTTACCTGGGTAATTTCGGTGGAAACACGCAGAGGTTTTTCAAACTTCCAGGTAAATGATAAAAGTTCCTGCGGTGGAAAAGGGGCTATTCAGAAGGTTTTTACCAGGAGAAGACTTCTCTACAGAGGTCTCCTCCTCTCCAAACAAACAGACCTGGTGATTTATAGCCGTAAAAACACAGAATGAAGCAGTTTCTCCTTAAAAATCTGTTTTTCTCCGATGCTGTTTGGCATGTTAGGGAAACGGAGCCAACTACTGCTGACGTTAGCTGAGTTTATTTCTCTGATAAGTTGAGATTCAGATGTCCAATGACTAAAATCCTTCGTCTGGGTAAAAGACATATTTCACTATCACGTTAAAAGTCTAATTAAATATGCACTTGAATATGCATACATTTCCAGAACAGCATCTGAACTAAAATAAACACCCAAAAATGTATTTCGGTAATTTTCTTTCCAATAGTCTCAAAGAAGACGTGATGGAAGCAAAATGGCCCAAAATCTTAAAATTGTCTAGAAAAGAAAAAGAAAAAAATCCACCTGCTGTGTCTCCCTTAAAGAATATGCCACTCTTAGGTGATATATAGAGTGAACTCTGTAACATAAGGTTTTTCCACTCTAGTAAATGTCATATACCCTCACTGAGATTGAATAAGCGTGTCACTGGGATGTGGAAGTGTGGCTGTCAGTGAATCATCTCTTTGAATCAGAGTCACAGCTCAGATAAGAATTTCGGTTTTTGGTGTCAAACTTTGGAAAATGCAGCCCTTCTTGATAATAAAAAACTTTATTGGGAGTTTGACGTGTGTCTAGCTGTCAGTAATGATTACCTTCGCTCTCACAGCTGAGGAAATTTGTTTGAAAGCAATGCTGGAAGTTCAGCTGACACGCTTGTTGTCTTGATGTTTCCATAGATACTCCTGTGGGTCGTATGGCGGGATGATATCAACAAAAACACACACTGACTCCACAGTTACCTCAGACCTGTTTGTTTTTGTCAAAAAAGTCTGAGACCAAACTAAATTACAGGAATGTAGCCTGGATCTTCTCTGTGGTTTTCACACTCTGTCATTAAGAAAAGCGCTCGGAGCCGCCTCATGTTTCATCTCAAAAAAGTACTGTAGATAAGAAAGGGTTGAAATGGTTCTCTGCTCAATTATTCAACATTGTAGTATAAAGACGTTGTCATGAACAGAATTAAGGTTATAAATTGATCTTATCAGGTGATACATTAATAAAATATTGCCAATGTAGTCGCATAGACTTTGCTGTTTTTAAAAAGAAGTGCTTTCATGCTTGCATATACACCGGGGGATTAAGACAAACCACTCGCCAACTATTGTTTTTTAGTTTCTTTATTCTAAAAAAAGCCAGTGAGCTCACATTGAGTTGTTTGTAAGTTTCAGAAAATCTTTTTTTTTTAGCTGCCCTCTCTCTCCTGCTCATCAGCCCTACTTTTCCTCCCAAGATTTAATGAGGTTTCGTCTCTTACTTTTAGTTCAGGCTGTCTTAGTACGATACTCTGTGATGCTCACAGGCTTTTTTTTAATACCACATGCAGTTTCTTTGAACATTTCTGACTTATATTTCTGGATAAATCAATACGACAGCAGCATCTCTTTACCAGAGTAAAAGATTTTACACTGAGGACAAGAGATACAGAAATAAAACACAGCAAGAGTGAGCACCACAAGGGACAACACACGGGCCAAGTGGTGGACAGAACTGCTGGCCCAGGGGCAACGCTGAAGGATAATAGAGTTGTCTAATGACATCTTTCTATTGATATGAAAACATAAATCACCAATAGTACCACTTCTTTCACAGCCTACAGCAGCAAAAGACTGTGGAAAGTAAATCTAACCTTTAAAGAGAAAATTCACCTCAAAATGAGGAGTGTTGGTGGATAATGGTTGTAGAGATGTCTGCCTTCTCTTAAACATAATGAAACAAGATGGCGCTCGGCTTGTGGTGCTCAGTGTGCCAAAAAATACATTTAATAAACTCAACATCAATGTCTCTTTCCAGAAATCATGACCAGGTTACTCAAGATAATCCACAGACCTTGTTATGAGCACTTTCGTGAAGGAACTATTTTCTTTCAACCAAACTACACCCGCCAACCGAATCAGCGCTCAAAAGGAAGCATGCATCTACTGCTAGCTCACCTAGCACCACTGAGCTAGCTAACGTTACAGCTCAGCTGAGGACGGCATTAATGTTTACATCTCGCTCTGTCAGGAACACGAGCCTCTCATCCCTGAGAGGGATATCAGTTTTGGTTAATGTCACCACACTTTAAGGCGCTAATTGACCTATGGCTAAGCCACGCCCCCTCCACTCACTCTGACAAACTATCAACATTCAGTGAGCGGCGCTATGGCAGGTGTCACAGTACACGGCATTTCACAGGAGGCAATTGATGATTTTTAATAACGATCAGATGTCATTGAGAAGTAACCAAAAGGGCCTCAACTATGCATTGGAGGGATATATTCATCATTTTATTGTTGAGAAGGTCGATGAAAAGCTTAAATTACAAGCCAAAATTTACAGGTCACAGTGTACGCTTGTGAACCGCATCTGGTTGCCGTCACCATCAAAGACAACAAGTTAAAGTGCCATTGAAGTTAAGGTTTTTGGCTCTGAATATGAGAAAAGGATAACGGCCTTTTTACCATCTTTACCAAGAGTGTCTCTCCGTTAGTTTGGTGCTACAGTATTTACACTGAATCATTCAGCATAACGTTTGCCAACCTTTGTTATCTCTGCCATTACAGATAAGTTAATGAAGCTAAGCTCCAGAAGTTAACGTTAGCTTAACTAGAGCCCTTTGGACAACAGCTAACAATGATGTACGATCACCAAAGTACAAAACTAGAACAAAATAGGCTAATGAACTCCCAGCAAACAAGGTGACATTATGAACTACGCAGCTAGGAGCTAACGTTAGGCTAACTTTAGCTAACGTTAGCTAGAGATGTTAAAGATAACTTTATATTTCTTTCCAGCAAAGTGACAATATGTTGCCTCAAACACAATGTTGACTTACCTTAGAACAGATGTAGACATCATTGTTAATCTTATTCACGTTGAGTTGATGTTGTGGTCTAACGTTACCACACAACTTTATCCAAAGGAGACACTTTTCTCAGTTGAGATGTGGTTTAAAGTGTAAAAAATACACCTGGTCGCCCAGCCTCTCAGGATACCTTGTGTCAGAGTTGCATGTACCCCATGCACACCGTTTGACCATTTTTAAACTTCAAATCTCAGAAAAAGTTCATAAAACCGAACAAACTGACTTTCTGTAATGCATTTCGATGGACGTCCAGGCAGAGAATGTCCGAGTGTATGGGAATGGCTATACGCACTGTGATTGGCTCATCGCGTTTGAGGGCGGGGCTGTATTTTTTACACTTTAAACCACATCTCAAGCGAGAAAAGTGTCTCCTTTGGATAAAGTTGTGTGGTAACGTTAGACCACAACATCAACTCAACGTGAATAAGATTAACAATGATGTCTACATCTGTTCTAAGGTAAGTAGTACACTCTTGGTAAAGATGGTAAAAAGGCCGTTATCTTTTTCTCATATTCGGAGCCAAAAACCTTAACTTCAGCGGCACTTTAACTTGTTGTCTTTGATGGTGACGGCAACCAGACGCGGTTCACAAGCGTACACTGTGACCTGTACATTTTGGCTTGTAATTTAAGCTTTTCATCGACCTTCTCAACAATAAAATGATGAATATATCCCTCCAATGCGTAGTTTAGGCCCTTTTGGTTACTTCTCAATGACATCTGATCGTTATGTCCCCAAAAATCATCAATTGTCTCCTGTGAAATGCAGTGTACTGTGACACCTGCCATAGCGCCGGTCACGGAATGTTGATAGTTTGTCCGAGTGAGTGGAGGGGGCGTGGCTTAGCCATAGGTCATTGGTAACTGTGAAAACATGGTGGCCACCCTGCAGTCTAACTCCAGGTAGTCCTGGCTGTATGTTCAGCCACAAAACCACTTTAGCACTGTTAGCTATGTTAGCATTACTAGTCGTGCTAACATAGCTAACAAGGTTCGTGGCTCAAAGTGGAGCCATTTACTTGTTGCGACAACCTGAGAAGAGGACCGGACGGTGGCTCAATGTTGCCCTGGCAAACTTTGTTGGGTCATGACTACGTTACTAGCTGTAACCACCAAATGAGCAGTGCTGCTAGCTCCCATCAGACCCTGTGTCAAAGTCTGTTTCCCCCGACCTAAACTGTACCCAAACCCTGCACTGCGCTCCAATATGTGTTTCCCTCCTGTTGATATAGCACTGCTAGGGCTCAGGGTTTGGGTACAGTTTAGGTCGGGGGAAACAGACCCTGACCTAAACTGTACCCAAACCCTGAGCCCTAGCAGTGCTATATCAACAGGAGGGAAACACATATTGGAGAGCAGTGCAGTAAACTGTGAAGCAAAATTAACCTACAGACTGATAACCAGAGATATTGGATAAAGGGAGATACCCCACTCAGCTCACTTCCTGATTCAGTGACGTCAGTGCCACGCCTCTGTAGGAAACTTGCAGCAGCTCTGAGGGAGAACAGGCTCTGATTGGAGGGAGAGCTAACCACGCCCACTAAGGAGACAGGAAGAGTAACCATTTTCTTAACATTGGATAAGCCTACGATGGGGTATCTCCTTTATCCAATATCTCTGATATAACCAATCAAAAATGTTCTCAGCAGTTAATCGATTAGCATCTTTTCTCACCGTGGTCAGTTAGCCTGCAGGCGTGCTGTGTTTACATGGCAACTCGCGTGAGACTCAAGAACGTTTAGAGACGTTCTTGTTCTCGAGTTGCAGGCTAACTGACCACGGTGAGAAAAGATGCTATAAAAGTGGAGTAAATTATGTCTTTTCAAGTCAATTTTGCATGCTGCGGCTTCAGGGCACTTGGATTACAACGGACGAACCGTTCTGATGTTTTGATTTTGGACGTGGGTTCCATGCACTTCAAGTGAAAATTGCACCTAGCTGTTATCCTCCGATACCCCAAACGAGTTTTGTGGATTAAAAAACTACACTGGACTTCTTGTCGGCATTAGGGTGAGTAAGTACTGTCTGTATTTTCATTCTAAAGTGATCATTTCCTTTAAGGCCTGTGGATCATCAATAATCTAGAGTAACCTGGTCATGATTTCTGGAAGGAGACACTGCTGTTGAGTTTTTTAAAAGTATTTTTTTGGCGCACTGAGCACCACAAGCAGTGTGTCATTGAGTTCCTTTATATTCGAGAGAGCATAGATGTCTCTACGGGCGATCTCTCCAATGCTCTGCACCTCACCAAAACAATCTGGACTGTGAAACAGCACTACAAGTGAGAGAAAAATATGTATTTTTGATTTTGAAGTTAACTGTCCTTTAACATCATCATACTGTGAAACTGGATGTGCTGACATGACTAAACAGCTGACAGTTTGGAGTTCTGCAGTCAAACACAGACCTGAGCTGCTACGTTCTGTACATTTGGGGCCATTCCTCAGATTTTCACGACAAAAACAAACCATAAAAATGTATCTCGCATTCAGCTAGGACAGGCAGACACGATGGGAATAAGAATATTTATTGAAATGTTGCACTATTTAAAGGTTACTTTAACATATCCATTTTATTTCATCACTTATCAAATAACAGAGAAAAATCAAAATACTAATCTTGGCAGTTGGCCATGAAGGACACTTTTGTAACAAGGAAAGAAAGATAAATCAAACTTTGAGGCGGTGCTTTACTTCATGTAGGCTCTTTGGGATCATAGAGCCAAAAATAAAATTGAACTATTAGATGATCTGTATAAAAAGCCACATTCTTTGGGCTTGATCAAATTCTTCACCAAGGTTTGTTGGAATGACGTTTTAATAGTCCACACTTGGAATATCAGAGAGCATTTTAAAGACCGACAACATTTGCATGCAAGAATTTGCTTCACCACAGATCCATCTGCTGTTCAGTCAGCCAAGTTGTTTGTGTTTATATGTATTGGCTACATGAGGTCAGTTCATTTGAAATAAGAGAATCCTGTTCAGTCACACACCCATTACAGGCTGCATGCAAGCACACTGCAGTCAAACACAAAAATTCAGTCTATCAGTGCAGAAAGTGAAAGTGAGTGGAACATTGACAACAGCAGATAAGGTTCTTTCACTGCAGGGCGCTGACCACTAAAAGCAAACAGTGCAGCTCTGGAACCACAGAAACTGAGTGCAACACAATATCTACTCTGGGTGTGACTTTTTTCAGTATCAAAATAAAAGAAAGAGGGAAGAGAGTGTTTTTGGCACAGAAGTGAGAAATCACAGGGGAGGATTACGCACTGACAACTTTTGAAATGTTTCCACACGTTGCTTCAGTGAAGCATAAGTCCAGTTTAAACAAAAGCAGCATTTGTTAAGGCCAGAGTCAAGCAAGGTATTCTTCACATACAAAATCTGCACGCAATATTAAGGCGCATTTCAAGAAATCACAGCCAAAGCAGGCAAGCATGGAGATTTCAAGCACGGCTTATCAAAAATAAACTGACAGAATACACAGAAAAGAGTTCCACCAGATAAAAATCGTGCAGTTTGCAGACATTCTCTTGTTGCAAAAGAAAAAGAGAAAACCCCTGTTGATCGGCATACTACAATTTCTAGCATGCAGATTTGGCAATACATAAAACAATGGTATCATAAAGGTCCATAAGGCACACATCCTTCACATACTATCCAGAAACAGTTCACACTCTTTAAGTTTTCAATTGCATATTTGCAAGACTGTACAGTTTCCGAAACAAAATTCTTTTGAGCATAAAACTGAAGTTCTCTCTCATACATTTTAATAATCTAGATGTAAACAGAAGTTGAAATGGAATGGCAAATTTTAAAGATAACCCTATACCACAAGTGTAGTAATGAGCTTTAGTGGCAAAACTCTTTGATAAAACTTGTTATAGCTTCGTCTCATTCAACACAAAGGCTATGCATTTTGTAATGTAAGGGTGAGATGATGTGACGCTTTGAGCACCACAGAAACCACCGGACATCTGTCTCCATCTAGAGGCCACTCTCAGCTATCACCAGTGACTGTTGTCAGGATAGCTCGGCACTGAGGCAGGGTACTGGGGCAAGGTCGGGCCTTGAGCCGTCTGAGCTACAGCGTTGAACCCTGCTTCCCTCACTGGCGCACTCTTCCACAACCCGGTGCTCCACTCTTCCTGAGCGCGCTCCAAACTCCCGCCTCCGCCACGGTACAGTCTGTGCACCTGCCGCAAGATAAGAAAGGAGAATAAAATAAATGTTTGTGTCGAGCATCTGTGTGGGTTTGAGGGACAAAAACTAAATACAAGTGTGTGTGTGCATTTTAGCATGTGTGTGTGTTCACTCACCCTGAGGAGAACCAGTGCCATTAAAGCAGTCACCACAGTGAAGAGCAGAGTTGTGATAAGCATCACTATAGCCGAGCCCACATTTGTGCTGAAAAACATCACTGTCGCAATCCAGCCGCTTTGATGTGTTGGTGAGAGTGAGATGGAGGAGTTAGTGTTAGTTAGTGTATCATACAGTATGTCATTAGCAAAGTGGACTTAACACAAATATTCAGAGTTACTAATGAGCCATTAAGCAGTGAGGAAAGAGATGCAGTGGCAAACAGCATTGTGACGATCAGTGTCACATTTACTTTTGTATCATGAGGGAACAGTGTTGTTATCACAAGCAGGCCTTTAGTTACTGGACACAAATAATGCTCAGATTTAGGTTTTTGTTACAGATTACATGACTAAAAATAAAACTATAGCTTCTTTTTAAGCAACATCCTTTTCCACAATAAGACCAACGTGGCATTCAACTGTAAGAATTTGAATGTGAACATGAAAGCACATGAGAAACTCCATCAAAAAAAGATATAATATATCTAATTTACACAACTAAATTGTTTAATTAAAAATGATTAAATGGTTATTTTAGATTATAACCATTAGAAATGTTAATGCAGAATTAAGGACAGGTGATTTTTATAAATGTGACTATTTTATGTAATGTAATTTAATGGAAACACACAGGATTCCTATTTCTTTTAATGTGCATTCCCCAATGATTCAAATCACTTTTGGATGGAAACATAGCTAGTGTTTGTTTTTGCCACTGACAGGCTCAGATTGTTACACTAAGTGTCTGACAGCATTATGGAAAGGATCCCTACAGAGACAGAGCTTTGTTTAAGAGTAAGATCCTTTTTGTTTGACCACAAACAGCTCCGAAATCGCTATCAACAAACTCGTCAGACTTCATTTAAATAAGCAGTAATTGTATCATTGTAAAACACACTTCATTCAAAGACAACAGAAACGCACAAAAACCTTCTTGCTTTGTCCGTCCACTGTTCCATCAATCAACAACTCTAGTTGGTTAAAGTTAACCCTTAACTCACCCAGTTAGATGTGAAACACGCTGCCTCTATACACACTACAACTACTGTTTGTGTAAATGGAGTGTAGTGGAATTGGTCATGGCAATTTTGAGGTTGTTTCTGAACAAACAAAAAGGTCCATCTCTATAAGGATTCTCTCCATAATGTTGTCAGACATTTACAATAATAATCTGAGCCTGTCAGTGGCAAAAACAAACACTTTTGGTGGAAGTTAATTGATGATTCAAACATGCACAGAGTGGGTTTCACCACTCCCGGCTGCAGCACTTTCTTATTCTATACTGAACCGATTTAAAACAATGTTGTTCCCATTAGTTGTTAAAGCCAAGCTCAGACCAAAGATTTGTGACGAGAGAAGCTGAAACTTTCAACTTCTTGCAATGCGCTGGTCTGCACCCTTCTGAAAGCCTGTCAGTTTACACCAGAGCGACTAGATGCGACATGTATCATCTTCATAGGAACAACTCTCCGTATTTCCGTTCACCTTTACAGACTTGTTTTGTAGCTGGATGAAATGTGCAGCTCCTTAAAATATGAATAAGGATAGTGACAGTGAGGTGCTGGCTACAAGTTGCATTTCTAGTAGTGATGAAACGGCCACAATAATTTAAATGATCAGTGCTGATTAATCAGTCAGTGAGTACGTGTGTGTGATATATGCACACATACAGTGAGCAACACTAGTGACCCGATGTCTCACCCCGACACACTGTGAGGACGGAGACTGACGTATGTATCAGCAGCCGCGGGATGCAAATGAGAAGGATTCAGGTTTGGTGAGGACGGAGGGCTGTTGTCAGAGAATGCCACGCCAAGCGAACACGCCGTCTGCTGACAGTTAGTAACAGACTTGGCCAGCTGGCTTCGCTATAAGCTGATTTGCTGTTGAAACAGATGATGGGTCTTACGCTCTAAAACCAGCCGCTGGCAACTTGACAAGCTGAGTTGTAGGTGACACCTTCAGGCGGCTTAAATCGAGCTCAGACGGGACAGTTCACACTGCCGCAACTTTCCTGTGCAATCTTCTTAAACAGTTTTATCTTCTTGCAAATCTTTGGTCTGAACTGGACTTTAGACACCAAACATGGTTGACAAATACCAGACGTACCCTTTAATGTTCAGGCTAAAACCTTTCTTCCCTTATTAACATTTAACATCAAGAGACTGATGGTTCAATGTCAGCAACTCATGAACAGACGTCATCCGGAAATCAATAGAAACAAAAATGTAAAAAGCTGCAGATTGTGTGACTACACAAATCATCATGTGTGCAAAAGTGTTTGATGGAAAACACATTTTCCAGCTGCCGTGATCCTTTGACAAAAGCACTCACTCTCTGGTAAAAAACTGGCAGGCAACACGTGCACGGTCTTCAAAGCAGGTTTGGTTCAACTCACCAAGTTCCCCAGCCTGAGAAGCCTAAAGTCTGGATGAGTGCCAAGACGCACTGAAGGAAGAAGATGAAGAAGAAGGCCATGAAGTTGAACGAGCTATCGGCCCTGTGAGAATACAAAGAGAAAATACACAGGGATGATACAGGAGAGCACAAACGAGCCAAGTGTTGCTCTATTTTTGTTGCAATGCTGTTTCCTTCTACTAGTCTTCAACATGTGGACACAATTTAAAACCATCTTAAACACAACTTCACACTTGCTTCGTGATCAAACTGTCCAAAGTATGAAAGTCGGGGCGATGTGGCCTTGAACCATTTATTATTACATCACAATTTCAATACTTATCAGCATATATAACAATACTTCCTGATGATACAATTAACACAGCCTGGACCCACACAGGTCGCAGGTCTTTGCTAACATTTACACTTGCTGATTGCAAGATGATGAGCTTCCAAGCTTCTGTAGTCACCAGTCATATTTTCCTATTATTTTTTGAGTCACTTAAATGCAACACCTGACCTGGCATCTCGGGATCCTTTTATTAAAGGCAGGTGTGCTAAAGTGAGTGTGGGTGATGAAGACGCCACAGGGTTACAGCCTTTAACCGCTGCCTGTTTAGTTTATCTTGGTTTTTATTGTTTGATGAAGTTGTTAAATACGCCATTGATTTCAACTTCATTTTTCGTAAAGGCCTGTTTATTTGGGGATTTTTGTTTTCATTCTTTAAAAGTGACAGTCAAGACAATCAATTGACAGCGTCATCCTGCAAATCAATCAACTCTTAAACCAACCGAAGCACCTGGATCATCAGACAGTGAGTACAATTATAGCAAAGACAGTGAGTTTATCATATCTCCTGTTAGAGCGTCTGTGGGCGGCTATTTTTGAACTTATTTAGAAACTGCAATACAGTGGTTTTCACATTTTTTGTGCCCGAGGCAAAATAAAGTGCAATCCAAAATGTCAAGGCACAACTGCATCATATCTGTGCAAAACAGCCTCTATAACACGTGTCATCACTCTGTTAATGTTTATTTTTATTTACTAACACCACATAACTCGTCAAATATCTTACTATATGATGACGAAAACTCCACGTTTTTCTCCTCACTGACTCGGTCAATCCCTGTGAAATTTGGCACAGTGGTAGAGGGTCATGGGAGGATGCCAATGAAGCAATATTACATCAATTGGCCAAAGGGGGGCGCTATAGCAACCCATTGAAATGTCAAACTTTGAATGGGCATATCTCATGCCCCGTATGTTGTAGAGACATGAAACTTTGCACAGAGATGCCTCTCCTCATGAGGAACACATTTGCCTCAAGAACCCATAACTTGCGCTTATATAGATTTTCCGCCATTTTGAATTTTTTGAAAAACACTTCAAATGGATCTCTTCCTAGGAAGTTTGAGCGATCTGCATGAAACTGGGTGAACATAATCTAGGGACCAATATCTAAAGTTCCCTCTTGGCAAAAGTTGGAAAACTTACTAAAACTGAGCTTCTATAAGGCAATGAATATTGCGGAGGGCGTGGCTCATCACATAAAGGTGTATAACATCTCAAGGGTTTCACCCATCACCACGCAACTTTGTAGGCATATGACCACACATAATCTGAGGGGACCCCTCCATTATTGACCCCATCAAACAAAATGGGGGCGCTAGAGAGCTCATTTCTTATCTAGGCCTAACCGCCATATGGATTTTTACTAAACTTGGTAGATATGTAGAACAGGACGCCTCAAGGTGACTGGAGAAATTTAACTCTAATTGGCAACTGGGTGGCGCTATAACAACAGAAAAATGCTTCAAAATGGCTAAAATGCGACCGATCGCTGTGGCTCCCCCTGTGGACCAATGTTGGTGTTGTTTTCTAATGTTTGGTATGACTAAGTCATGGTATGGTATGCTGTACATAATCACGGAAACTGTCAGTGTGTCATTCTGTCAGTCAGTCATTCTGTCTGTCCCACGTTTTTCTACTCACTGACGTGGTCAATCTATGTGAAACTGCACATAGGCATTGAGGATTGGCATAGGTAGAAGGTGACAAAGCTACCAATGGCTATGGACTAGTGTGTATTAACAAAATAAGTCAAGTATTGCGTTTGTTGAAACTTTGCAACATTAAATTAAAGCAGCAACACACCAATTTAAACCAGACTGGTTAAAAAATGAAAAATTAGGTTATGAAACCTGTGTGTGTGTGTGTGTGTGTGTGTGTGTGTGTGTGTGTGTGTCTGAGCTCTGCTTGCATGTAGTTTGCCTCCATTGCCTCATCAAACACTTTCACACAATCCAACATACAGTCTTGCTGCCTCTGGTTCAAACCCTGTGCTCTACTGAAGTAGGACAGGTTTCTCACAACGTCTGGTTTCTAAGTGCCTCTTCATCTGGCTTGGCACCATGTTAGCATGAGCCAACCATGTTAGCATTAGCCAACTTGTTCGAAAAGACGACGCACACACGCCGAGAGCTGTTTACGTCCCCAGTCGAGCTATAGCCATAAGACAGGTAGCGTTGGCAATACTATCTGCACGTTGTTCTCTTTCCTTTAGTTGGCGGGTAATCGGCACAGGTGGTTACGGTGGTTTGCTCTGCACAATGAAGCGATCCATTTCCCCCTCACCAATGTCTCAGTCTTAATGTTGTTCACCACCTTCATACTGGCTGTAAAGCAGGGCCTTTGATGAACCAAACAAAACATTTCCACCACCTGGCAACTGGTGCAAACAGGTGCTGATAAAGAGCCGATATTGTACATTAAATATTCTTTCAACAATTCTACTTTAAGTCTACAGGTGTGTGACACTTCTCAACAGCAGCGGATACAAACACATACTTCAATTTAAGGCATTTGTACATTAAATTTAAGACTTTTTAATAGCTTGAAAGGCCTCTTTGAGGAAAACAAATTCAGTGATTTTTTCTGACTTTTCCAGGCCTGCAGACACCCTGATGATGTAGAAATAAAGCCGACATGAAATGTTGGGTAGGTTAATGTATCATCGAAGAATTATCTGACAGAAATCCATGCTCCCAAAGTTACAGATCATAAATGATTCATTTCACGCAGCCAAAACTCTGAAAGTATTTTCATATCAGATGTTGTGACTGGTGCTGACTGCATCATTATAATTGGTGATTTTCATTTCAGAGACACATCTAAACAGAGCGTTCACATCAGTCACTGGCTGTCTCTGAAACCACAGCATCATCAACTTCCTGTCAGTTACATCCTCAACCTACTATAATGCTCTTTTTTCTCACAGACCCATGACATCAACAAGAGTCTTCATTTGGTCCGAAAGGCAGATGTAAGAGTCCCTACAAGATCTAAGAAAACACCTGTCCTGATATCTTTGTATTGGCTTTAAATGGATGAACTACAGCGGCTTGCAAAAGTATTCACCCCCCTAGGAATTTTTCACGTTTTAAAACCTCACAACCTGGAATTAAAATGTATTGTTTGAGCATTTGCATCATTTCATGTATAGAACATGCCAACAACTTTGAAGATGTGAAAATTTTTTTTTTATTGTGAAGCAAACAACAAAAAGGCCCAAAAACAAAGAACTTCAGTGTGCATAATTATTCACCCCCCTGAAGTCAGTACTTTGTAGAGCCACCTTTTGCAGCAATTACAGCTGCAAGTCTCTTTTCATTAGTCTCTATGAGCTTGCCACATCTTGCAACTGGGATTTTTGCCCATTCTTCATGGCAAAACTTCTCCAGCTCCCCCAAATTGGATGGTTTCCGCTTGTGAACGGCAGTCTTCAAGTCAAACCAGAAATTTTCAATTGGATTGAGGTCCGGGCTTTGACTAGGCCATTCTAACACATTTAACTTCTTCTCCTTAAACCATTCAAGCGTAGCTTTAGCAGTATGCTTCGGGTCATTGTCCTGCTGGAAGGTGAACCTCCGTCCCAGTCGCAAATCACAGGCAGACTGAAACAGGTTTTGCTCCAGAATGTCCCTGTATTTAGCACCATCCATCTTTCCCTCTATGCGGACCAGTTTCCCAGTCCCTGCTGCTGCAAAACATCCCCACAGCATGATGCTGCCACCACCATGTTTCACTGTGGGGACGGTGTTCTTGGGGTGA